TGAATCGTGAGTATTAAATTTATTTGAACCGATCGAATCACGATGTGACTGTTTTGAGCAATCTCTTCATACTAACAATGAGGAGGATACAGTTGATCAAGCGACATGGCGAGCTTGCGCGTAGCGCAAGGAAGGACCGATATGATACACACATAATGTTATACACTTACATATTATCATCTATAAGATATTTCAAATATTAAAGTATTTTACCTATTAAAAAAAACTTTTGTGTATTTTATTTGCATCATTTTAGAAAAAATATATCAGAAAATACTGCCAAGTAAGAATAAAAATTATTTTCTTAATTACTAGAAAAATAAAAAATTGTTTTATATTCCATACAAAAGATGTATTATTTAATTATTACAGTACTGATGCTAATAAAAATGAAAAAAGTATTTAACGTTAGAAATCTTAACATCTTACTACAATGAATCACATGTTAACATAATGTTAATTAATATCTCATGTTTAATATTAACACAATTAATATGTCATGTTTAATATTAATACAAACGTATATTATGTTATACTAATATATTGTACTACTCACTGTAATATATTAAATATACTAAATGTATAATAGTATACTTTCACTTTTCTTAAGATATGAACTGTCAAAGTATGTAACATTCGCAATGACATCCGCTCGATAACAACGCACAGCGCGCATTGAGATAGTCAATCAGCATCAGAAAAAGTGACAATAATGAAAATTTACCTTGCCTTTTTTAAAAAGTGAATTCTTAAATATAAAAGTATATTTTATTGAATATATGTATAAAAAAGTAAATTGAAGATTAATGTGCGTGATAATTATTTTTGAAATAATTATTTCAACGCTGTTATAACTTGAATGTACTTTGTTACAGATCAACTTGTGTACAACTCTGCTGCAGCGCATCATGCCGGTAAGTCAATTCAACTTGTTTTATTTTAATGTCATTTAAAAAAATTGATTTTAATATAATGTAAAATATGCAAAATAGAAAATGTACAGAAGTTTTAGACTAGCAGTATTACGTTAATCACAGATATTTTAAGCATTTTATAATGATATAGAAATCAATATGCGACGTGCCTACGCGCGTAAATTTATGATAATTTAATTAATCAAGGTTTAAACACTTTCCATTAAAAAAATTACTGCAATTTCAACATTTTGACATAAAAATGTTAATGTCTAATTGACTTCAGAATTCTTCTATAAGGAGTAATATGGTCTGGTATATTTTGTATATGTGATATGCATATGTAAAATATTTTCAATCATCTTGAAATGCTTTTTGATTATTTACAATCAGTATTTTAAAATATTGATTTATAGTTATTTAATATAGTTATTTAATATTTATAAATGTTAAAATTTTTCTATATGTTTAAATCGATAATTTTTTATATTTATACAAATATTAGATTTTTATTTATAAAATAATTCATAAAAGTTTAACATGTAAAAAATTTTAGTAAAAATTTCATTCTGTTTTATTAAATACCTACTTAAAAGCAAGTATGAATTATATAATTTTATGCAGTATTTAAAATTAAATATAATATTGTACAAAATGGCAAACGAAAGAAAGAGTCCGAAAAGATTAGAAATATTATTGTCCGCAATAATATATTCCAACTAATTTATTCAATAATGATATACACTCGTAATTTATAAATATTAATTACTTTTAATCTTCGAATGCGCCAATTTTGTTCCCACCTTTTTATTTATTTACATTTATCAATGTTGTTCGTCACTTGAACCTATTAAAAATTGTATTAATATTTAACTAAGACATCCTATTTTATGATGTTATTTGTGAATGTACATTTTGTTGTGTGGGCATAAAATTATTCTTTGAGAAAGTTTATAATTTTTATTTTCTTTATTTATTTTAATTCAACATTGCTATAGCTGTGCCTATATACTATATACATTGTTATATGCTTTGTCTTTCAAAAATTCAATTGTTTGGCTATTTAGTTCCGTTTTCAAGTTTACCACAAGCACAATATTAGCTCGCTACTGACAGCCGGATTTGTAGTACTGAGAAGCACTGGCGTGATACTAGACAACAGTAAAAAATTAGTACTGATTAACTAACTTATATAATGTATAATAATTCTAACTAATGTATCACTGTTGGCGATGGAAAGTTTGCCAGTCGGAATAATAATAACGTTCCATTAGTATTAAATACCAGAATTGGCATCCAGTGTTGGCCCAATACTGGCTAGTACAACAGCCACGAAATAATAGTTACATGCGAATTACAGGCAGATTGAATACAGACTCCTTCTACTTTGTTGTGAGAGTTCAGTCGTCGTCATGTTGACTGAGAGATCCAAAATTTGCTATTTGTCTTTCGCGCTTCAATTTATGTTTACTAATTTTATCTTTAACAGCATCAATTAGCTTCTTTTCTTTCAGATAAGTTGTCGCAAAGATATTTACCTAAAACAAATTATTTCGACAAAATTAATTAATGTAAAGTTTTTTACTTTTGAGTTTAAGAGAGTATGATTTGTTGCCTTAAGTGTAACTGGATCGGATATGTTACATATGTAACAAATAACATATGAATAAGCTCAATATTGAAAAGTCAAGAAATGAAAGTATTACTTGAATTAAAAAATATAGGTACCTCTTGTAATTGGTTTGCGGAATGCATATGCGTAATACTGATAATTAATATTGCAACTCTATCAACTTCCCTAAAATTAAAGTAATGGATTTAATATGTATATCTCATACTTAGAAATACAAGAATATATATAAAAAGAAAAATATTATTACCAATATTTACTTAATACGATTTGCCTGTCTCTTAAACATTTCAATATGAATTCAAACACTATCAAGTCCCTTACATGCTTCGCGACAGTAAGAACAATTATATTAACACGTTTGTCTCGTTCTTGGATAAAATATTTATACTCTTTAGTTAGTCCTAACAATTGTTTTAAATACAAGATAATAATTGAAGAATTTTTACAGCAAGTTAAGTAATCTAATATTCTGTTATCAGATGTTGTCCATTTTTCTCGTATATGGTTCCAAAGGGTGTAGTTTGCTAACATTAAACCTTTACAATATTTCCATTCCTTCCATGTAAACCGACTGCGTTAGCAGAAATAAAATGTTTTATACAAATGTAGCTTATGTTATGTATATCAAATAAAATAGTTTCTCAAGTTTAGTATATTAATGCAACATGATTAATTTATACAAATGTCGTGGTTTTAAAACAACTTACTTGTCTTGTACAGGATTTTTAAGGTATTTTATCAGATGTAAAGTGGCATTTTCTCTGCATTTAGCAGCACCAATAATACATGCCCATTTTGCTGCTTCCTCTCTTAAACATTTAGTAAGGTCGCTTTCATTCGGTTTTTCATCGTATCCTATTATTTCCAAAACTCTGTTCAATATATTTCGCATATTGTCCTTAAAATTGGTAAATTATTTGAATTTATAAATCTACTATTAGAAAGAATGTGATGTATGTGTATATGTACAGGTATACATATTTATTTAATTCTTTTTATGTAGAATGTTGTAATGTATAACTTTTCTTATAGAAATTAGCCATTACCTACCGTTATGAGTGGAGCATGATCAAATGAATAGGCACAAGCCATGTATTCAAAAGCTTTAATCATGGGATACCATGCTACGTAATTCGTATTTTCTGACAGAAAGCTTACAATATTCCAAAACCTTATTAAACTGATTCGGCGATGTAAGAGAAAGTGAAATGCATCATCTATGACTTGGGCTTGATTGAGAACATGTACTGTATAACTTTTTCTCAAGCATTGCTCAAGTCTAAACCAGCCCTCATAATTATAATTAACTCGATAGTATCCTATTATATCAAAAATAGATTCTTTTATCTATAGAGTCTCTGATAGAATTTATCAAGAAATAGTTTCTAACAGTGTTTTTTTCAAAATATTTTTTAAAATTATTTATTTTTTAATAAAATATGTTAAATATAAGTTATAATAATAATATCCAATTATAGGTTCTTTTTATTGATACAAAATTTACAATTAATTACACAGGACTACAAAAAAAATTTTTGGATATGAATTCAAACCAGAGTAATTGTTTCTTATAGATTTTTGGTCACTGAATCCGAATTCGTGTAACCGTTTTGCTTCATCACGTTTAGTTTTTTAGATAATTGAGAAAGATGATAAAAAATCTTTGAAAATTGAAAGAAACATTTGAGGAAAGAGCAAAAGTAAATATTACATTAAAATGCGGTCGCAGAACTGATTTAAATTTATTTTGGCGAACTAAATAAGGTGCAAGAAATAAAAAAAATTTTGCTTTTCTAATGTTAGGTATTATAGCTTAACATGTCGTAAAACAAAACGACGTAAAGTACCTTTGTGCAACAAATATATTTTTTTTTAATTTGTACTGATTCGCTTCGTGTTCAACTCTATGCCTCACTTATCTTCCAAAAGTAACAATTAAAATTTATTTCTGAAAAAACCTAGTATAACTCACGCAGATCGCCTAGCTGTTTGTTGCACAATGATACTTTACATCGACTTGTTTTACGACGTGTTAGACGTATAATACCTAACATTAAAGTAAAACTTTTTTTATTTCTCTTGCACCTTATTTAACTTACCAAAATATATTTAAATCAGTTCGCATTTTAATGTTATATTTACTTTTGTTCTTTCCTCAAATGTTTCTTTCAATTTTCACAGATTTTTCATCATTTTTCTCGATTATCTAAAAAACTTAACGTGATGAAGCAAAACGGATCACAAATTCGGAGATTTTTGATTCAGTGATCAAAAATCTATAAGAAACAATTACTTTAGTTTGAGTTTATACCCAAAAATTTTTTTTGTGGTTTTGTGTTATTAAAGTTAAAACCAGTACCAAGAGTAGGATCTTTGTGCTCGAACTTTACGTTTACTTAATAGTATAAATTCGAAAACACTTTGTTTTAAATATGTATGATTTCTTGTAAATCATTAATAATGTTATAATTTTTAATTATGACTTCATTAATCTTGAAGATTTAAAATGCACCGTAAAAATTTCACAATCACAAGAGCAGTGACTATATGTACATACGGGGTTTTCCATCTAATTTAGACATTTTAAATTTCTTACTTGTTTTTGATAATATGAAAATATGTCAAAGAAAAACATTATTTGTTTGGGAGAAACAAATATTATTATAAGAAAACAATTTTTTTCAAAGTTATATTTTTCAAGGTTATAAAGTAATCGATCATTTTTAAACGGGATTACATGTTTTTATGACTGCATTGTAATAGCTGAAATATCAAAACTTTCTATACATATAATGATTATATAATACGAAAAATCGTCAGAAAAAAACTGATGACATTTCTAACGTTCTTTCGTATTATGAAAAACAAGTGAACTATTTAAAATGCTTAAGTTAGGTGGGACATCCTCTACACACATAATCATGTAATAAAATCCAAAATTAATCTCAATAACATAAAATGGAAACGACAAAATCAGAATATTGCATAATTTTAGTTACACAAAATAAAAAATTGAGGTATAATAAATTTAATATTGTATAGTTACCTATTTGTTTAACATTGACTATGACGCAATAATTTTCATCAACAACCTTAAATTCATTTTTAATATTCATAAATGTTTTACGTTGCGGTGATAGCAAAAAATGCTGGTTAAAACTATTACCAACATCTTTTTGTATTATCGTAAATGTTACTAATACGGGAATTTGTTCCATGTCTTCCTCGATATACTGAGAACTGAGATATGAAAATGGTATCATGTCATCTGTAGCGCTTAATGTCACGTGCAGTACAGGATAATAATTTTTCTTTATCCAAATATCTATATATTTTTTTACATTGAAAGATTTTTGATGATAAGTCT